AAAGTGTGTGTGTGTTTAAAAGAATAATTGGTTTCCTCCTCGGTGATGACAGGCAGCTGCAGCGCAGTGCTAACCCTGTTAATGTGTGTGTGAGAGGTGTATCCCATCTCTGTGTGTAACAATGAAACACTTGTAATAATGTTTCATTTGTCGCCATAAACACTGTGTGTCTGAATGTGTGTGTGAGTGAGTAAGTCTCACACGCTGCGATGCACTTGAACGTCGCTCTGCATAAACGAGCAGATTAAAGACGATCGGAGGTTGAAATGACTTCCTCTCAGTGTGCGTCTTTGTGCAGCGACACACACAAGCTGTTGCGTGATAACCCGGCAGTGACACTGTGCTAAAGGTTGTAAATCTTAACATTTACTCATTATTTGTAATGTGGTGATCAGGAAAACAAAATGATGGAGAAAAGTGGTGAGAAAGTGAAGAAAGGGTTGACAGAAAAAGAGAAACAAGAGGAAACAAGAGAGAAGACAATAAAGAAAAAAAAGGATGAGGAAGAGAAAGTGGATGTGAGAAAGGAACAGCAGAGGAAACGAATCGAAGGACGCAAGAAAGGAAAAGAAAAAAGGCACAGAGAGGTGGAAGAAAAGATAAGGAAAGGAAATAAATTGAAAGAAAAGAAGAGAGTTGGGTGAAGGAGTGGGAAAATGCAGGGGAAGGAGAAATGAAAGAAAGAAAAGAAAAGAGTAAAGAAAGGAGGAAGAGGTGGAGGAATGGATGGATGTACATGCACATCTGATGAGACAAATGGGCAGACTGACAAAAACAGGAGTGCAGACTGGTTGAAGGAAGGAAGGATGGGTGGATGGATGGAGGAGGAGGAGTGCCGTGGGTGGAGGATTCAGGGGGCGGGGTTAATTGAAAAGCCTCCTGAAGAAGTTTGTAATGAAAAGCAGCAGATTAACTGAATGTGTGTTTAATTAAGATAAAGACAAATGAAGCATCGTCCTGTCGCTGCCTGATTAGACATGCACACACACACACACACAAACACACACACACACACACACACACACACACACACACTCAGAGCTGTTTGTTTGACACTGAATGCTCATTGAAGTGAAGTGGTTCAGCATTGAAGAGGCTCAGTGTGTGTGTGTGTGTGTGTGTGTGTGTGTGTGTGTGTGTGTGTGTGTGTGTGAGAGTGAGAGTGAGAGTGAGAGTGTGCGCTCACCCTGTGAGGTGAAACTGAGCTCTGATTAGAATAAACACTGTTGAACACTATCAGCTCCATCAGGTCAACAGCCACCACTCACACACAAACACACACACACACACACACACACACACACACACACAGTGGATGTTTCTCCATCAACATGTTTTTATTCACGTTTTCAGCGTGTGCAAACAAAACCAGCCTGAAGGAACAGACACTGGCCTACCTCGTGCAGAAGACCTGCCACTGTGGCTACATCATGTGATGTCAGTTTGATTTGAATTAGTGAGATCAATACATGATGGCGTGGTTTAGCATGGTGATATATGTCAGCAGGCATCTTTAAACATTAACAGACAAGTCAGAGGTCACATGTTGCACTGAGCATGTTCAGTGCAACATGTGACTGTCCTTTCCTCTGCTGGAGCTCTGACAGTGTCTGTGTGGGTGGTACCTGTGCTGGAGCTGATCGAGGCTCTGCTGCGACAGGAGTGCCAGTACGTAGCCGTAGCCCTGCTGTATATTGTGGTTAACGGTGCTGTTCGTCAGCACTAAATATCTGGTTCGAGGTCCCTCTCCACTCAAACATACTTCACCGTGTTGCCCTCTGTTTCCTGGGCACAGTGAGCCCAGTCTAAAAAGCATCTTAAAGCAGTGACATGCATAAATCCAACAGACAGTTTTAAAGCTGCTAGCAGCATCACATGCCAATAAAACTACAAAGCTGTAACGTTCTGGAGCCCAGAGTTACTTAAGGATGTAGAGACTTTAGATGTTAGCCAGGAGGAGACTCCTTCCTCACAGTGGACGGCAACAGGACTTCAGTCAATTTTTCTTTGGACCTTCTTAGGAAGATTTGCTGAAACTTGATGCCCAATTTGAGCTGAAACGTGGCCAGTTAATCTCCTGTCTCCTCCTCTGTAGGAGGTGTTGTTGAAGAGAGCAGCTGACTTGGTGGAGGCGCTCTACGGGATGCCCCATAATAACCAGGTAACCTGCTCACCTGCCCATAGGTTTCACTTTCCTTCCAGCTGGCGTCTCTTTGTCCTGGACACACACTTAATTGTTTAAGTCAGATTTTGCACTTGAAAACAGTGGAACTCATTTACTTTTACTCACAAACATCAAAATCCCAACTCTTTATCAAACTGGTTTGTCTGTCACAGAGCTGCAGAGCTCTGCAGGACATGAGCCGAGCATGCCCACAGCTTCTGTCTCATCACTAGTAATTATAATAATAATGCATTAGCCAAAGCAGTCTGACTCAGAATCCAGCAGTTTTAATCACTGTCCAGCAGTTTTCATACATACGGAGACATAAAGCTGTTGTTGTTCTTATAGAGAAGCACACATTTCCCATAAAGCTGCAGGCTTGTGAGTGTCAACCTCCTGAAACACTGGCGGAGGAGGGGAGCTCTTTATTTCCTTCTCTCTCTGACACGTTTAACAGCTGTGAGTTAAGCACACTCTCACACACAGGTCTCCTGAAAGGAAGGAGCAACCTTGAATGGAGGTGGAAACGGATGTAAACCCAACTGTAGCACAGTGTGTGTGTGTGTGTGTGTGTATTCACGCTCATGTGATGTCAGTGTGTCTGTGTGATCCAACAAGTAACAAACTGAAATGTGTGTTTGAATGTTTGTCAGATAGAGAAAGTCATACACTGACAGTTTAACAGTGAACGTCTGCAAAGCAAACACCAGCGCTCCGTGCACAGGCAGCGTCTCTGGTATAAAATAATCATCACATGCAAGAGTCAGTTCAGCGCGACAACATTAAACTTAACAACATGTAAAATTTTATGAAACCAGCCTGAGGCGTTGCTTTGTGTGTGGCCAGTTCATTTTCATAGAAGTACTTATGTACTTATACAGAAGTTTTACTTGTGATGTTAAAGTGTTTTACCGTATTGTGTGGCTGAAAGTAATTATTATTATTATTATTACCAGTGAATCTGATGTTTATTTAAGTTAATTAAATGTTTTGTTGATAAAACATCAGAAAATATCCTGGACCACAGGACCAGACCTCTTGTTTTGCCAAAATGACAACTAAAAACCCAATCATATTTAACAGAAGACAAAGAAAACCAGCAAATCTTCATACTTGAGAAGCTTGTTTTTTACTTTTGCTTGATCAGTGCCTTAATTGATCAATCAGTCATTGAAGTACTTGCCAATTAATTTTCTTTTGATTGTTTAATTGATTAATCAGCCGACTGCTGCAGTTCTACACCGTTGTTCTGGTGAAGTAACACATGCACAATGTACATTAAATATTTTCAGTGCGCATTTACAGATTCTTGCAGGGTGTCAAAAGTGAAAATGAACAAATGTGGTTTTGTATCCAACACACTGTCCTGTTGTATTAAACAAACCCAATCTGCAGGAGATCATCCTGAAGCGAGCAGCGGACATCGCTGAGGCTCTCTACAGTGTTCCCAGGAACCACAGTCAGATCCCATCGTTAGGCAATAGCGCCTCCCATGGCATGATGGGAGTGAACTCCTTCAGTGGACAGCTGGCCGTCAACGTCTCGGATACTACACAAGGTGACATGGAAAGTACTGCAGGTGTGGTAGTACAACACTGTTACAGATCAGAGTCTGGAAATGGAAAACATTCCTGGTTGAGACAGGACAGACCTGAGGAGGGACACAGTCAAACATGGCGCTCCGTACAAAACGACATCTCACTCCTGACTGCTGGGTCCTACTTGTGGTTTATTACTGTGGTACTGCTGTCCGTCATTATTGTCAGTAATTATCACCTTGTGCTCACCATGGTGAGATCTGGGAACATTCAGGTGATCGGACAGGTTGGAAACAAACCTCAAGCTACAGAAAACAAGGCAAACATCAGAAATTTATATTTGATATAAACATCCTGCTTCAGCTCTGGCCCACTGTCCTTCTGAATAAAGTAGTCTGGGTTGTTTACTGCTGGTGCTCTGACAGGGACGAGAGGGCTGGTCCTCTTTAGTGATCATGTGTTGTTAGAGCTCAGCCTTTACTTTGGTGAGTTCAATGTGGTTTTAATAATAACTATGGTTCCAAGAAGTCACAGTGTTGTTTTGAGTTTTCACTGAGAGTGCTGGATCACTGAACCAGATTCAAAGGTTCTACAGGGTTCTGGTCTAGTCTTCAGGCAGAAGGAAGACTTTCCAGAGCTGGGACAGAAAACCAGGGCTGGATCGAGAATTCTGCATGCATGACATAAAATAAAAGTAATTTGACCAATATCTGCTATAAAGCGCCAGAAAAATGTTGGGTGCATTTAAGGCAAGAATTTGACATTGTTTTTCATTTTTTATTCTCCACATTTGGACTCTGGCAGGGGTGACACTGGGGGTGACAGTCAGATTCTGGGGTGGTTGGTGCCACCCTTGCCCAACCCTTTGGCTCTGCCCATGCAGAAAGCTGATCCAAAATGTAAAAGTGAGCTGATTAAAATGTTTAAATTTCTCCAGAGATTTCTACCAAGATCAGCCTCTAACTCCACCTCAGCCTGAAGCTCTCTGATTGAATGAGTCGAACAGCAAAGCTCTCTGGGATTGTAGTTGTAGACTCAGTGTCTGTGTTTGACCTGTCCATGTGCAGCAATCAAAAACGAGACTGATCCTGCAGGAACCTCATGTATACCACATCAGACTACTATGCATGTAACCTGGTAGCACTACCTGAGGTATTGAGCAGCAGATTACTGCAGTACTATTAAAACTCTACTGTCTTCCTCTCCCAGTTGGTTACAGTCGTAACACCAGCAGTGTGTCACCTCGCGGATACGCCCCAAGCTCCACCCCTCAGCAGAGTAACTATGGTAACACGGTCAGCAACAGTATGAATGGCTACGGCAACACGGGCATGCCCAACCTTGGAGTGGCAACATCACCAGGTTTTCTCAACGGGTCGGCTGCCAACTCTCCCTACGGCAGTAAGTATCAAGGTAAATGCTACTACCACTACAACAGCTATTCTAAACTACACATGAGTAAAGTAAGGACGACAAACACTCAATGCTAAACTACAAGGGACACAACCAGGACTCCTTGTTCTGATGGTGATGGAGGAGCAGTGACACCAGCAGCAGATGTGGTGATGGGAACACTGGTGTCGTCTTATTGGCTCGAACAAGGACACAGATCATTGTGAAGGTCTGGACCAGAGGAGCTAAAACTCACCAGTGATTTGTTGGAGCATGTGTATTTGGACTCCAGGTCAGGTTTCTGGAAACCAGCTCTGAGTCAGAAGCTGGAGATCACAGTGCTGGTGTAAAATATCAGAGGTGTGGTTTGACCAGAACTGTAGTTCTAATGATGATTTAACTGCAGAAAACTGTGACCCAGGCAATTAGAAAAACAGCTGGATCGGAAAAGTTCCCCAGGTTTAACAGATACATCGTTGCTGGCAGAATGAGACTACTCACATAAGTTTTTATGTGCGCGGCCGGACGCATTGTGTTTTTGGGTTGTTTGGGTCGTCACTTGAAGTGAGTTCACAGCAGCTGGTTTCTCAGCTGGTTTTCCTCGGAGCTTCCTGTCCATGTCCAAAGAACATGTTAGTCATGGTGACCCACCGACATGTCCTCCATCAGGACATGTTTTAGGTGTCGGCTGAAGTGTGACCTGCTCTTCACAGGACACACTCCATTCTACATGATGTCTTTTAGTGCCATCTTCAGGTCAGGCTCTGGGTTCTGGGCCATTTCCACACCACTCATGGAACTGGTCATACTGGTTTAAGATAAGTTCATTGTCATTAAGGCGATAGCAGCTGAGCTCATCACATGATACAGTTAGTAGCCCTTCTGTAGCTTTCAGCCACATCATGTTGTAGACATTTCTTTTTTTCTCTGTGAGACTGTTTCATTGATAGCTTGCTGAACTGGTTAAACTGGTTTCGGACCTGCTTTCTCTGTTTTTCAGTTGTTCCCTCCAGCCCCACTATGGCGGTGTCCAACTGCAACTCCTCTCATGGAGTTTTCTCCTTCTCTGCTGCCGTCAAACAGAAGAGCGCCTTCGCTCCTGTTGTCCGACCGCCAGCTTCACCTCCTCCTCCACCAAACTGCTCCGCCAACAACGCCAACGGGCTGCAAGGTACACTGGAAGCTGCTCTGCTGCATCCTCCTGTTGTCTTTGAATCCTCCGCCTCATCCATCTGAAACATCTAAATCTCTACGCTGACTCCACTTCTGATTCAGGGTCCTTGCCACTGAGTTTAGTAACTTTGTGTTTTACAATCAGAAGCTTTCTAAGAATTTCTTGACACTTTTGTAGAAGTCTCCTGGAAAACAACTCATTACATGGTGAGCAGTTGCTCTCCTTTTAATGAAATAGTAAATTGTACTTGAAGTGAGTTCACAGCAGGGCCACTGAAAATGATGAAGTCACAAGTGTTTTCATATTACTTATTGTTATTATGACTGACCTCTTTTATGTTGTAGCTGATTCAAGTTTATATAATTTTACAAGTATAAAACCTATCTACAGACAAACATATAACTCCACATATTTTCAAGTTTCCCATAATAAATTGATATGTATATTTAAGTTCATGTCACTAAAATTAGCACCACATTATGTCCAAAATCTAGAAAATTACTTTGCAGCCCCATAAAAGGAGGCAGGGCTCTGTCCGTCCTGCGGCTAGCCTGATCCGAGCACTGGACACACACTGAGCACTGCTGGTGTGGCAGGAGAGTGACAGGCCGATGCATGTTTTATTCACTACAACCCACAGATACATCCTCTCAACACACAACACACGCACATGAAACGCACACACTCATGCAGTCAGCGTGCGTGATGTCAGTGTTTCTGACAGAGAGCTTTGTCAAGTGTTAAATATTCATGCTGCTCTCCACCTTCGCTGGGGCACAGATGCCACAGTGTGTGTTTAATGTCTGCATGCGTACTAAATGTGTGTGTGTTGCTGCCTGTGCAGGCCGTGCATCATCGCAGCAGATGGAGACAGTAAATACAGTCTGAATCTTATTCATAGCTCATGTAGCTGCAGCCAGAAAGTGACGCAGATACAACTTCTTATAAATTCAAAACTCAAGTGTAAAAATATTGTCTAATAATTTTCATCATATTTTACTTTACCCTCAGGTGTGTTTGTTTTTTTCTGTCTCATTTTATTTTCTTTCTGATTTTGTGATGAATACTTTTTCAAATGTAAGTATTTTACTGGTTAAGCTCTGCATGTCTCTCTCACTCCCTTTCTCATTCTAGCTCTATGCCTCTCTATCACTCTCCTTCTGACTCAATAGTGTCATGTCATCTAAAGTAACTATATAGTTAGACAGAAGATTTCTAATCTTTTCAGGCCCAAGTACAATAACTCAGTTTTGTTACAGTTTAGAAGTAAGCAATTACAAGTGATCCAGGCCTTTGTGTCTTTAAGGCATGCTTGAAGTTTGACCAACTGATCTGATTCATCTGGGTTCATAGATAAATATAACTGAGTATCATCTGCATAGCAATAGAAATTTATGCTGTGTTTCCTGATAATATTACCTAAAGGGGGCATGTATAAAGTGAAGAGAACTGGACCTAACACAGAGCCCTGTGGAATGCCGTGACTAACTTCAGTCTGTGCGGCAGATTCATCATTAACATGAACAAACTGGAATCTTTCTGATAAATAAGATTTGAACCATCTTAGCACAGTTCCTTTACTCCCAATAACATGTTTAAGTCTCTGTAGTAAGATGCTGTGATCAGTGGTGTCAAAAGCAGCACTGAGATCTAAGAAGACAAGTATGGAGAGAAGTCCTTTGTCTGAGGCTAGGAAGAGATCATTGGTGACTTTCGCCAATGTTTCTGTACTATGATGGACTCTAAATCCTGACTTTTGCAGGTGGTTACATAACTGCTTTGCAACAGCTTTTTCAAGGATTTTAGAAATAAATGGGAGATTGGATATAATAAAATGGCAAGTAAAGTACAAATACTTCAACATTCTACTTGAATAAATGTACTTCATTACTTTCCACTAATGGTAAATACAACAGGAAGTTAGTTCATGTAGTTTGGCTGCTGATTTGACAGCAGGTGGAGTTGCAGCAGCCTCATTTCTCCCAAAAAACCATCTCCTCCTCTGAGTACTACCTCAGTGAAACTTAAACAGACATGAAACACATGTTGATCTGACTCAGTGTGACTTCCACTTCTTGGGGATCTCATCATGCCTGATGACCCTACAGAACAAACCATAAACCTGCTTAGACACCAGAGGGTAAGAGGCTGCAGAACCTGCCTGAGAATCCTTCTGTTTCCTTCAGTCTCACAGTGATAAGTTGTGTGGCCGCCCAAGGGGGCACTGCACACAGGAGCTACTTGCTGCTCATTCTGCTGCTGTTAATGGGGACACTGTGACTTCATGAACTGATACAGGCTAAAAATGCTGTAGTTCGCAGCAGATTGTTTTGCAACAAATTGTAGTTCTGCCCTGCAATCTGTCTGTCCTCCTCCGTCCCTTGTCATTGGACACAGCTGACATCTCTTCCTGTTTCTCTCTCTTTCTCCAGCCATGTCCGGCCTTGTCGTTCCTCCAATGTAAAACTCTTCCTGGTCATTCCTCATCTATTTCCTCCATCTCAGCCACGAGCACCAATCACCTCTAAGGAGGAGGGGCCTCAGTCAGCAGCTGACCAATCAGGACGGAGTAAAAAAAAAGTACTGTTGTCTCTGGCAGGACGGAGCCTCCTGCTATTAAAGAAGAAAATAAGACTTTTTGTCCAGCAGTTTTCAACGGGTGCTTTCAGCTCTCTGTTATTATTCTGATGTTATTCCCGTGTTTTCTGTAGGGGTGGGGTCTGTTGGTGTAAAGACATCGTTTCCTCTACATGAGGCATTAAATCTGGTTGAGGAAACAGGGAACAGATCCTTATTTGACCTGAAGATTGTAAACATTAAAGGCCCAAAATTATTCAGAAACATCCAACAAAACCTTTGCTGACATCTGATTGGTTCCTGTGGTCACCACCGTGTTGAGCAGCAGATCATGTCTTCCTGTGAGGTGGATATTCTACCCATTTGAGTCCAGGTGAAACTTGGGGAGGGAGAACAGGAAGCTCCTTCTTTTTATGTTTAAGGATGTCTACAGATGTTCCTCACAGTGTAATTTCACAGATTTTTGGTTTTCGTCAACTAAATATGATTCTTTTTGACAAACGCCATGAGGAAGATTCGGGGCCCAGAGAAGCTCTGAAACCTGAATAATTTGGGCTCTCGTATAGTTTTAAAAACTCAGCACAAAGATATCTGACCTCTGAAAGTGCAAGGAAAATATCAACTAAAAGAAAGAACAACATATGAAAATGGTTTCTCTCCTTACAATCCCTGCCCCTTCTTAAATTAAGCCCACATCCGCCTGTCTGTGTTTTTATTAAATTAGTTATTTTTAGCTCCTATGTGCTCCCATGGTAAAAAAAAAAAAAAAAAAAGAAAGGAAAAAAAAAGTCCTGCATCCTGACAGGCTACTGTGACTGTCTGTGTTCTTGTTCAGAGTTGTCTTTTTAACCATGATCCCTCCCACTACTCCGAATGCTCCGCCCACCACAAAGCCCCGCCCTGACTGTCAAGCCTGGCTGTGTTTTTTGTGTGGATTTTGTGATTTTAGTTGTAGCCACTGACTGTATATGAACATGGATGCTGACAGCTCCCAGAAGTGAGGCTACAACGAGTCAATCGCCCCCTGGTGGCCAGTTACAGTAGAGTTTATAAATCCCATCCCCTTCATATTAGCAGATGGGACATGAGCTGAACTAAAACTCAAAGTACAAATCAAATCAGTTTTTCCCAGAGGTCACTTCTGTGACTTTTGGTAGATATTATCAGGCCGATGTCCGTACAAGAGATCACCTTTCTGGTCAGGTTGTTTTTATAAAGTTATTTGATGATATAAAAACAGATGGACTTCAGGTGATTTGACAGCTTTGATTGGCAGCCTGATACTATGGCTTCACCTCTGGTCGCTACTGCACAAAATCGGGGTGCAAAATGCCAAGATGGCAGCCGCCGTATTTGATACTGTGTTTTGGCTTCACACTTGCATAGTGGAGGGAAGTGGTGACGCATCATCCATTTTATATACAGTCTATGGTTGCAGCTGGCTGAATCTTAAACATCACTGTGGTTGCTCACACCATCCCACCCGTCACTGGGCTCATCGTGGGAAGCTCTTTTGTACAGAATATAAATAATGTATTTATATCTAAGATTGTTTTGTATAAATGGATGTCGAGTCATATCGTCTTCATGCGGTTTTAAATGTGTGTGTGTATGTGGTGGTGCCACACTGAAAACAAGCCATTGTTTTGTATTAACAAAGAAACTGAATGTTAACGTCCTCACAAATTTATACACTGTCAATCAAAGCTGATGTGTCCAATCAGCTCCACTCATTTTGTTTTTGTTGTTCTGATTGTAACTCTTGTTTTGGTGACTGTTTGGCTGTACTGAAATGATTTCCTCACAGTGAATAAAGTCAGCAGGTCGCCCCGGTGGACTCGGACGGCTTCTTTTGGCCATCAAAGAAACAAAGAGTGTAACAGTGCGGTGAGAAACAAATGTACAAGCTAGACAGATTCATAACACTTCGTTACAAAGAGTAAAGACAAGGTTAGAATCGCCAGTTCTATGAACTGTATCTGAGATTCTGTTAATTCAAAAGAAGAAGTCATACCCAGAAAGATGACCAGCAGTTTAATGTGCAGTTTTTTTAGTTATACCAACAACACATTTTAATCTTTGAGACATCACAAAATGACATGCATATTCTTATCTTTAGTGGTATAAAAACTAAAGCTTTTTCAAACTAAGGATTGTGTTAAATCACTGTTTTAAAACAACCAGGTCAGGAGTGGTTCTCCCTGTTTGTAATGTGTTGTTAACTTAAAATCTGAAAGGTAAATGTTCTTCTTGTCTGCCATGATATACAGTGTGTTCATCAGCAAGTGCGACAATTCAACAACACACATCATTGAATAGAAGAAGGAACTACAAAATAATCGCCCTGTCCTCTGACTGCACCCAGTCAGGACCACAGTAAACTTCTTGGCAGTATTATAAACAGTCTGGTTCGTCTGCAGCAGCTCAGCTGGAGCCAGATTAGTCCAGTAGAAGAAGAGGACGATCAGTCTGACATTTTGGAAAATCCTCTTGTGTTTATTGTTACTCAGAAATCCTCATCTGTGAAGGTGTGTGCTCAGACTTCTCTCTCCTGTTGCAGCTGGTTTAACATTCAGCACAGCTGGAAACAAGACTTGTTGTCTTTCATCCTGAATGAGTTTCTCGAGTTCCCAATGTAAATCGTGTCTCTTATCATTTGTGCTTTATATCATTTCTTTTATTTTCTTTCACTCAGTTTAAAAGTGATGATTAAAATGTGTTTTTCTGCTGTGAAAACCGAGAAAAACCATTAATGGACTTTCATTAAATGGCTCTGTTCCCTCAGTGGACACAAAAGCACAAACAGGATTTGATTAAGATAAATCACTGATAACCTCAAACCCCATTATTGCACAGACTTTTATTTATTTCTCTTTGATTTATTTTCCAACTCATCACAGAATCATAAGTTTGTTCTGGTTTTGTCTCAGTTTGATTAAAGGTCACTGACTGTTCTACTGCTGATGCTTTTGAATTATTGCAGCTGAATCTCGCTGAAACAGGTGTCTCCTCATCACATCAGCTGTTCAGCTCTTATCCTAAGATCGACAATAAACGTAGCTACACACAGGTGAGTGGTGTGGTAACTGTGGTGTATGTGGAACTACTAAGACTAATGTACAGCCCTGCGCCTGGTTAATCCAAAGAATTCACTAAATCAACAGAGTCCACAGAAGAAAACAGGACAGATAACACCAGTTAGCTTCTATGTTCGCTGATCTTCACATTGGTGTAAAAACAGCTGACTTACTTTTCTGACAGTTTGTTGCCCCAGAAGGTTTTTAATCAACATAGTGAAGTGAACCCAGGGAGCATCATCACAGTCTCTCTTCTTCTGTTGTCACAGGATAGTGTGTGGTTCACTTCCTCTTCCTTCACAAACACGATTGGAGCTCAGGGGTCTCCCTGAGGACCTGATTGAGAGCAGGGAGCTGTGGTTGCCGTGGCAGCCGCCGGCTCCCCCCCCCCAC